GCGACCTGCGGGGACCCCGGTGCAGCGGTCACCACCGTGCAGGGACCTGCGGGGACCCCGGTGCAGCGGTCACCACCGTGCAGGGACCCTTCACACGGCCCCGCCGGGCTCCCCCGGCAGCAGAGCGCGGGGTAATCCCGGACTGGGCTGCACCGAGAGGGATGCAAAGGGCTGCACCCGGGCAGATGCAATCCCGGACTGGGATGGGTATCCCGAACTGGGGTGCACGGGGATGGGTGCAGCGGGGTGCACCGGGATGGGTGAAATCCCGAACTGGGGTGCACGGGGATGGGTGCAGTGGGGTGCACCCATGTGGGTGCAATCCCGCACTGGGATGGGTACAGCGGGGTGCACCAGGATGGGTGCAATCCCGAACTGGGGTGCACAGGGATGGGTACAGCGGGGTGCACCAGGATGGGTGCAATCCCGAACTGGGGTGCACAGGGATGGGTACAGCGGGGTGCACCCACATGGGTGCAGTCCTGTGCTGGTGTGCACCCTAAAGGGTGCAAAGCTGCTAGGGTGCAGACAGGGAGGCCACGGGAGCCTCTGCAAGGGCCAGACTCTCATCCCGCGCACAGCACCGCAGAAGCAACCGCTCACATTCAGTTTGATAATACGGTTTATTGTCCAAAGACTGAACGTCCACGTATGAATTATACAGAGCATCAGAGACATGCACAGTCTGCTTGTCGGGATCAACAACGTCCATGTGGTTCCAGCACAAGAAGGTCTCAGACTTCAGATTCCAGCAAAAACATATTGCTCAAAAACCCCAAACACCCCCCAAAGCTTTAAATTATGGCAGCAAGTTAGATACTTCTTACTTTAATACTTATCAAGCAAAGATCCGAAAATAACTATCCTGTAAACTTTTCTTTCCTTTTTTTTTTTTTTCTCTTTTTTCCGAACGCTCTGCGCTGCTTGCACGGAGAGGGGAACGGAGTCAGGAAGGAAGCGAGCGGAGCCGAGGACCAGAGAGATATAAATTAAAAAAAAAAAAACAAAAGCCAATCACGAATCCTTCATATCCTTTCCAGAGCAGAAGCGGCAGCTTGGTGGCGGCAGGTCCGGCGCGGGCCCAGGCGTCCGGGGACCCGCGTGGGGGCGGAGGGGGACGGACACCAACCAACCTGCTCCCAGGACGCGCTGGAGGGGCCGACCGGGCGCGCTCGCAGCCTTCCCGCCGGTGGCGGGAGCGGAAACCCTTTACAAAATAAGTGCAATTCTAACACCTAACGAGGGAATAAAATTAACAAAGAAAATTACAGCACAGGAATGATACAGCTGATGGCAAAACAAATGGGAGTATTAAACTCAAGGACAGACTACCAGCAGAGACGGCAGTAAGTGTTACTATGATATAACCATACAGGAAGCGAATGGGAGTCTTACATGGGACTGAGGGCGGCTTGTTTTTTTGTTTTGTTTTGTTTTTTTTTCCTTCTTTTCCATGTTTCTCTAACACGTGGGAATTGCCCAGACTGGTCCAGTGCGACATCTCCAAGCCTCGGGCGGAGGCACAACATGAGCGCGCGGGAGCGGGACGGCCTCC